TTGTTTTCGAGCCTTTCAAAGCCCATTACCAGACCACATGAGATGTTGGCTCAAATTACAATGAAGATATCTATCGCATTTGAGCGTGATTTCAGGAAAGCACTCGAAATAAAGGTTAAAGATCATGAAAATACCACTCCTAAATATTGTGTCATACTGAGAAAGTTAATGAGGCATTATTTTCTGCGCATCAAAATTCTCAGTGTTATTTGTCTAAGTCTTATTGAAGTCTAATAGGATGTTTTGTAAAAGCTAAAAGCTTGCCAGGTATGTGTTCTTCTATGCGAACGCAGAGTGACCTAGACGTTTCGCCTCATGTATTCATCGCCGTAGGCTGCACAAGTGAAAAAGAAAGCTACACCTTCCTTTCACAGACTCTACCGTTTCAGCATGTTATGAACTCTTGCGTTTATATAGGCGGCCGTATAAGCGGTTGCAAACTAAGTAACGCTTTAGAGTGTTTGGTGATATTACGATAATCGTTACCAATCTCTCTCAGCTCCACTTTTCAAACATCGTATTGTGGCGCTTCAAACCAACACTTATTCTTTTTGAATTTGGAAGCTTCAGCACTTTATTTGACCTGTCATCACAATTTTTTCCCATAGTGCGGATCCTAGTATTTGTCATTCATTTCGTTTTGTGTCTTCTCTCTGAACGACGTAGAATACTGGTTGAGCGAAAATTCTTGCAATTTCGAGTATGGCGTGGCTAGCTGTGGCGTTCCATAGGGTGTTGTAGTTGACTGCCGAAGAAAAGTTGAGGGCTAGAGCTCAGCTCCACACGCGCCAAAACCAGCATCACATCCACGCGGCCACGGCGCTCCCGAAATTGGTAACAACGATTCAATGATCTGGCAGAAAGAAATCGTATTCACGTCACAGGACGATCTTTGAGTTTGAGTATCTTAACCTCTTAAACGGTATAAGGTCTTTCAATAGCTCGTGTCCGCCCCGTTACGGCGGCCACGAATAGTGGCCCGTGCCTCCAATACACATCAGATTATCAAAAGTTGTGAAGAAACATAGTCCTCGCAAAATAACGGGATATCAGTAGAAAATTTTCGCAAGGATAAATTGTGTAATCGTCGCCAATGTTTCATAAAATTCCCCCGCCCACCACCTGAAAATGGCCGCCGCCTGCAAAGCGTCAAATAATGAGACCGACTGTCCATTAACCCTATCATTGTTAAAGATTTGATTTCTTCTTAAGAAACAAAAACAAAGAGTTATCCTGAATTTTACTGCAAAATAAACTTATGAAGAAGAACTGGGAACTATTGGGTAGCGAAAGTCATACACGTATACACATGCAAACAGTGCATAAAACACGGAATCAGCTCAACGGCTATGAACCAGTTGAGTAAGATCAAAGGCAAATATTAATGAATTATACAGTTATAGTAGAGTTTAGAAAGGGATAAAGCGGTGAAGATACGAAGAGAAGGTATCAGTCTACAAGTAACTGGTATTGTAAAAGACAAGACATCGCCATCCTCTCCGTAATATTATGAATAAATTTTCACCCCCTTCCTTATTGTCGTGTTTTGCGTCCCGCATATCACTCATTATTCCTAGTTTCGTTATAATTGCATAGTTGGATGGTTATACACGTTCAACATACTATGAGATCGTTGTACAATTGATCAGAAATACTTAAAGAGTTATAGAGCCCGGTACACATGTTTCGACCTTGACAGTCTACCCAGTCGGGCGGTACCCTTCGTCTTTTGCCAGTCCTCTCTGGGGAACCCAACCCCATACTAAGAGTGGGCGACGAAGAACAATATTAACATACCAGCCAAGAGCAATCGATGTAAATACTGTCAGTCCATGATAGCTTCACTTGATGGATCGTGTAAAATATTCGTCGCCTCCTAGTTATAGTATAGGGGACTGGAGAGCGTGTGTTTGGGCTCTATAAGTTGCCTTATAACAGACCTCATGCGTGGCTCAAAAATGATTATCAGGCATATTTAATTGGAGCGTGATTTTAAGAAAGCACTCGAAACGAAAGCTAAAAGAGTTGTTATAAGCATTGCGATTAACGTGCTTCGGACAACGTGTACCTGTACTGGTACACAACTACTTACAGGCTTTTGTCGCTAAACGAAGCTTTCTTAGGCTTTCAGTAAGCATTTGGAGGCTCAAATCTTCTCAAGTTCAATGATGTGTTAGAGGTTTTTCCGGAAGCCTTTCTAGTTACGTTGTAGGAGTGATAGTAAAATCATGTTTCCCAGCCAATTTTCTCGTTTGTTCGGCTAAGATCTGTAGACGGCCTGCGTGGGGTTTTTAGAAATGTTTTGATAGCCGAAATCTCGGGCACTTTGGAGTCATACATAGTTTTCGGAAAGGTCTATGCAAAACGCTGCAGGAGCGAAAAAAATATTATTTTTCACACCCGAAATAGTCCGCCGTTTGTTATCCCCATGGCGATTATTGTGAGGGTAAATATCATGTGTTAGAGGCACTATATGTGCAAAAAGGCAGGTTATCACACGGGAAGCTCATACAAAAGAATTTTCAGCAAGAAGAGTGACCAACTTTTCAAAGCTCCCTATGTTTCCATGAGAAAAATATATCCATGCAGAAAGAAACTAATCTTCAAGTGTTGATGAACATTTTCTCCTATCTATGTTTTGACAGCCATATGTTATAAGATGACGATCTCAAAATTAAGCTTGCTTTGTGGAAAGACTCTTATAGCATGTTCCACTAACGAATTAAACACATATTTGCTCTTGATAAAATTAGCAAGTTGTTTATACTTCACAGCAGATTTTCCCAAGCTTTGTAGTGAGATTTTCATGCTAAACAAATTCTATCGTTTCTTCTAAAGAGTTCTATAAGTGTATTTCTAGTGAATAAACGCCCTGCTATCCTGAATAATCCCACTGTTCAGGACAAACTACTTCCTTGGAACGACATGTCGTTTCCATCTTTTTTTTAACATTTACTTCAATGACAGTGTAAGAATACAAATCAAAAGTACATTCTCCACATTTTACGACTTTTTTAAGGGAATTTTTATGCAGTTAGGCGAATTAGGCTTTGATAGAGTCATCATCAATTTGTGGAGTACTTCCTCGGGCGAGTGCATTTTCTTAGCCTAAATTTTCCAAACTCTTCTTTGATGCTGCGGCTTTTCTACTCAAAGACACAACAATCAACAGCTTATGCAATCAACATCACTCAATGACATCTCTGCCTATACATCACCACTGGTCAACAGTATAATCCTTTTTGCTTCCAATCCATACTCTTTGCAACGAAGAGGTACTACATGCTGCTTTTCACTTATTAGTGGGCACTGTTGGATAGTAGAATTTGAGTGGTCGGAGCACTTCATCTTTACGAAAAGTAGCATATTGCCGCAGAGATATATATGGTTATTTCTATGAAGATGAACGCTCACGCGCCCTAGCAATGTGTGATTTTTGACAGGAAAACAGCACTCTTTGAAAATGAATTTACCCTGAAACATCATATATAAGAGCGAGCTCTTCATAGATAGGAGCGGTCTGTGCTGGAAAATAGCCGCGTGATCACATTTTTTCAGTCCTACTTTGTAATTTTATCATTTTTTCCTCTATAGTTAGTACTTTTTCTTCTTTAGGAAAAATAGACATTTAAAAGCTTGCTTTATCGTCCTCTTTTGCAAAGATTACACCGCTCTTATATAAGGAAATTTAGGGCACTTCTGGCTCTTGTTGCGCATTCTTGTCGGCTATTTTGTAAAAGTGCTCTTTTTTATGATATAATTATGCACAACACTAATGCGCTAGTTGATTAGGATAAGTGCTCCACACCTGTACTGAAAAACGTTTAGCTGGTATATTTAATGTTTGAACGAATTACTCTATCAAGAACCTGTAGGATAGAGAGACATAGGGAGTAAAATTATGAAATACAGTGCCACCAACCTTTTAGAACAATTTAACATTTCAACGTGCAAAAAACTTGATAAATTCATTATAATTTCTAAGGCACCAAAAATGAAACGTAAAGGAAATGCCTCGTCATCACTAGTGATCGCAAAGGATAGTACAGATTGATGTTTGAAGTCGGGATGAGCGTGCTGTCATTCCATGTGAACTTTCGACTGATGGTTCCCATCAAAAGAAGAAAACGAATAAAAGAAACACTCATGGACAACGGTGACTGTTTGAAAGAGACCTTTGTTGCGCGAATGCAGTTTTTGTATCAATCCTTTCTGCTGAACTCACGAAAGTGTTTGACTGAGCAAACTGTGTCTTAATTTCTTCAGGCTCTAGAAGTGGTAACTGCCGCAGCGTCAGCTAGTACTGAATCATTCGTGTTATTTTCAATCTTGTGCCTACTCAACTAGGAGACATTGATACGCCTCCAAAGTTTCCAATCCTCAGGAGACTTTAAAAAATTGATAAGGAAGTTAAACTGAACATGCAAAGCCTCTTGAATTAAATTGCATTGTTGTAAAGTGTACACCAAGCACGGTTATAATTGAATCTGTAAAGACTTGACTCATTGAAGCAATGTAGTGTCTCTGATTCAGAAAGAGTATTGCATGGAATAGATGGAAATCTAAAGTGTTTGAAAAAATACCGTGGATTGACTTTTTCCTGTGAAATGACGTCGTTTTTCTTATAGCACTGGATATCAGATTCTTTAGAACATACTGAGTAATAACGTTTAGAATATGAATCTGCTGTACTATAATAGAATAAAACTATGTAATATTCAACAAAGTATTTAATTAAGAGAACTGATTGGTGAGCAAAAACAATTCAATTCAATTTTCATAGTTATATAAGTAACATCAATTCTCTTAGTTATATATGAAAACCATGACACTGCGAAAAAAGCAGTAGAAATACTATAATTTTGAAGTATTTTATATAACAGTGGCTGTCAGCTCAACGGCATTTATAAAGCGAAATTGCATAACCGACCAAACCTGTTAAAGGTTGGTGGCTGATAGCTAACATAGATATGTTGAAGAATAAGTGGTCGTGCAGATTTGTCTTGGTGATGTAGTGATTAAAACACGCGTCCCCGGATAGGATGAAACGCGGGTTCGATTCCCGCCTGAGGCCGTGTTTTTGCTCACCACTCAATTCCCTTAGTTATATAAGTAACATCATAACACTGCGAAAAAAAGAAGTAGAAATACTATAATTTTTAAAGTATTTGATATTTAACATGAATTTCCCAAGCGCTTTCAAACATTTCAGCCAAGATGAAAGCATTTTTAGATAGAATTCGATGCGGTTAATCAGAAAATGCTACTGGATGTCAGATTCTTTTGGAACATGCAGAGTAATGACGTTTAAAATATGAATTTGCTGCACTATAATAGAGTAAAACCATGTAGTATTTGATATGAATTTCCTAAGCGCTTTCAAACGTTTCAGCCAAGATGAAGGCATTTTCAAATAGAGTTTGATACGAGGAATTAGATAATGCTACTGGATGCCAGATTCTTTTAGAACATGTTTAGTGATGTCGTTAAAATATGAATTCAATGTACTATAATCGAGTAAAACCATGTACTATTTAACAAGTAAGTAATATTTAAAAAAGCACTGCTCTTTGTAGTATAATGTGGTCAGGAAAATTCGCTGCTTCTGCAATAAAGTGGTTAATTAACTGTGCTGCTTAGGGTTTAATATGGTCAACAAATAGTGCTCTTTGTTGAACAAAGTGGTTTAGAAACTGTACTACCTGATATAAAGTGATCAAAAAATGGTGCTTCTTGGTTTGTACAGTTGTGCTGAACTGTGCTATTGGGGTATAAAATGGTCAGAAAATAGTGCACTTTGCTGTTGAAAGTGGTTAGAAAGCTGAGTTGCTTTGGATATGGAATGGTTAGAAAAACGTGGTACTTGGGGTATAAAGTGGTTGGGAAACTGAGCTTATTGATGCATAAGTTGGTTAAGAAATAATGCTACTTGGGTTGTAAGGTGGGTAAGATTTAGTGTTAGTTGGGGTGTGAAGTGATTAAGAAATCGTGCTACCTGCGTTATAAAGTGATTAGGAAACTGTGCTACTTGAGGTAAGAAGTGGTTAAGAAATAGTGCTACTGCTATCATAAAGTGGTTAGAAAATTGTGCTCTTTTTGTACAATGTTTGGACGCTTTTTTTTTTGGAGGCATGAAGTGTTCAGGAAATTATGCTACTTAGAGTATTAAGTTATTAGGAATTAATGTTTCCTAGGGTATAAAGTGATAGAGAAAAGCGTTACTTGTTGCATGATGTGAATTATGAAACGATTCTAGCTGTTTTATAAAGCGGTTAGAAAACGTGCGACTTCCGTTCAAAGTGGCTAAGAACTAGTGCTCTTTAGGGTCTAAGGTGGATTTTAAACTGTGTTATTTGGGGTATAAAGTGGTTGAGAAATAGCGCAGCTTGTTGTATGAAGTGATTAGAAAATCGTCCTATTTGGGGTATAAAGTGGTCAAAAAACTGCGTTCTTTGTGGTATAAAGTTTGAGAAACTATGCTTCTTGGAGTATAAACAGGTTGGGAAACTGTGCTGCTTGGGGTACAAGGCGAGCAAGCTCCCAAGCGAATGTAATTTGGAGCATTGGCCAATAGAGTCGAACTCAACTCCGATCACCACAGTTCAAGCAACAACATGAAGAGCTTGAGAGTGGCAAGCTCATCGGCAAGTACGTCTTTATTGGATAAGGGATAAGATAAGCCAAAATCAAAATTTCAAGTACTCTCTCCTCACGCTTGAGGGCATTAGGAATCCGTTAGCCGTCTCAAATCCTGGACTGAAACTTATGAAAAGGAGGTAGATACACCCACAGGCGGCGTCTCTCGCGTATCTCCACAAAAAGCAGATATTACCACGTGCAGAGGAGCTCTAAAACAGGCGATATTATCCATCACAAATAATTGCTGTAGTATTCAGACAGCACTGGATAATTACTCTGCTGCACTGGACATTCACTTCTCAGCTCTCTTTACACTCAGACTCAGAACATGAGCTAGATGACAACAAGCAAAAGCGAAAATGTTGCCCTACCAAAGACAAATTTGCCACCCATCCTAATCCTACGTTCTCCAATAATACATGGGAATGGCAAACATTTTAGGGAACATTTTAGCACTCCGTTCATTCACAGCAGGTGCGTGACCACTTCGAAATGAATTGCTTAGTAGATGCACTTGGAGGAAGCGCAAAAGCCTTCGTCAAACAATATGAGATTTCCTGAGACTCGAACGAAATTGTAATCCATCACTTGAAGAATAAATACTACAGCAAAAAGTTTTTGTGGATAAAATGTTGCACAGACTTCGCATACAGAAGCCAGAAGCGAGTGGGTGGTGAAAAGATCAACAAATTTTATGTGAGTCTCTATTCTCAATAATCAACCAACTACGTCACAAAGGAGAACCAGCAGACAGCAGATACCTGCAGCAGCAATTCCTCAGCAAATTCTCGAGAAGCGTCCAAAGACATATCCTGGACCAAGTAGATCAGCAGGAAGCATACGAACTGTGCACCACTAACGAACTCTTAGATACGATCAGTCATTACTTGAGCATTATTTTGAACAAAGAGCTCAAAATAGAACACCAGTTGGAAAAATCTATATTACCGAGAATAGCCGTAACTTTACGTTTCATATCTCCTTATCAGGAGTCCGCAGTAGTCAGAGACCATTGCTCAATTAAACCCTATCCATGATTCTACTGCAACAAGATAGGGCACTTATCCACTAACTGTACTACGATAAAAACACAAAAGAAGAACACAATTGATAAAAAGCCGCAATCTTTGTTACAATTTGTTTCGTTGGTCACAATACGTGTGTACTAGTTCATGAAGACCATGATTATCAGTGCTATATAGAAGAAATGGACGCTCCGTTTCAGTGCAGTGATGAGAAGAATCGATAAAGGACAATTTTCTTACATTTTATAGACCACTGATCCACGATTTTAACGGAGATTACCAGGTATTCCACGGCGAATATTCGGGAGAAGACGAAGAAACTCAAGACAGCGCGAAAGAAAGCCTTGATGAAAGCGATGTCTAACGCAATAATACCGATACGGTAGAGAAAGACCATATATCTGAAAATGCGGATAATGAAGAATCACTAAATGACGATTTTTAAAAATGACATACCACTGATCCACTGCTCCGAGGTACACTTGCGCCACCACCTATTCTTCAACATCTTTATGTTAGCTATCAGCCATGGATGGAACGAGGGTTCGATTACCTCCTGAAACCGTATTTTTGCTCACCACCCAATTCTCTTAGGATATATGCAACGTCATAACACTGATAAAAATTAGTAAGAATATTAGAACTTTGGAGTACTTCATGTGAGAACGGCTGTCTGCTCAGCTGGTCTTACAGAGCGCAACCGAATACCCGACCAATTTTGTTAAATCTTGGTGATTGACAGCTAACATAGAGGTGTTGAAGAATGAGTGGTGGCGCAAATGGGCCTCAGTGGTGTCGTGGAACTAGCACGCGTCTCCGGTATGAATCAAACGCGGGTTCGATTCCCGTCTGGAGCCATGTTTTTGCTCACCACTCAATTCTCTTAGGTGAATAAGAACGGTCAGAAAGCAAACTACCGTAATGTAATGCAGTCAAAACATACACACTTACACCAGTGTTCCGGTGGGGTTTGAATGATTAAGACGAGCTGGTCATATTTTTTTGCGTAGAATTGAATGCGAGCTACTTAGAAAATCACTGGATATTGTATTATACTAGAAGAAACTGAGATGGAATGGTGAGAAGGCAGGGTGCTATACTATCATAGAATGAAAACTTCTAATATTGCACATATATTTCTAAAAGATTTAATTCGGTAAGTCAAAATAATCACATTTGTGGATAGAGTTCGTTGCTATTAACAGGAGATTATTATTGAATATTTCATTATATTGAAACAATCTGTGGTATCATGGGAAAAATTAGGGAGTGCTATACCATAGTTGTATAAAAACACGCAATATTTCTCCATTATTTGGAGTGGTTTCAATCGGTTAAGCCAAGATGTTCACATTTGTAGGAGAGTTCGATGCGAGCAATCAGAGTGTTTCACTGATTATTGTATTATACTAGAAGAGATTGAGTTACAAAGATCAGAACTCGAAAGCGCGATTCTATAGTAGTATGAGAACATACAGGCTTTTATATACATTCTTGAGTGGAACTGTATCGTTTGAGCCAAACTGACCAATTTTTAGGTAGAGTGCAATTCGATCAATTAGAAATATTGCTCGAAATGCATCATACTAGAATAAACTATGCTAGAAAGGTGAGAAGGCGAAGGTGTTTTACTATATCGTTATAAACGTACGATCTTCTATATACGTCTCAAAGGGGATTTGTAAGGGGCATGCCAAGTTGATTAGATTTTTGAGTAGAGTTTGATGCTAGTAACCAGGAAAGGTCGTTACACACAATATTTTTGAAGAATTTTGATGGGATTTGAATCGGTTAAGCCAGGCTTTTAACAATTTTATGGGAGTTCGATGAGAGCAATTGAATGTGTCGCTGGATATCGTGGTACACTAAAAGATAATCAGTTAGAACGGTTAGAACACGAAAGAGCTGTGCTATAGTAGTGTTAAAGCATACAATCTTCTCTAATGCTCTGGAGTGGATTTAAATTGGTTAGGCCAAGCTGATGACATTTTTAAATGGAGACCGATGTGAGAAACCACAAAATATCTGGATAATGTATTCTACTAGAATATGTTGAGTTGAAAAGGTCAGAATGTGGAAGTGTTTTCGACATACTCTGACGAACCTGGATTTCAAAATTAGACGGGCCAGTTGGGTGATTTGCTGTTGAACCTTGGCTAAGAAAGGATTGTGACCAGTGGTGATGATCCCGAAGAAGGTGGAAGAAGGATGAAAGTGTAAATTAAGCGAGAGCTGCTCAGACAATGCTAAACATGGAACAGCAGCTAAGACCAGGATTGTGGATGAGTGGTCTGGTGTTGTGGTCATTCTCGCACTTCTATCTTTGTTGAGCATCTGGGTGGCGTTCATGACAATGTGTTAGAACGGTTCCAAAATCTGGCCTGCTACTGTGAGTTATTTATACAAGAAA